GTTCTGGTCCCGGTCTGGTTCTCCAGCTCCCAGCGGGGTTCTGGTTCCGTCCCCTTTGGGCTGGTCTCAGCAAACAGTGGGTCTTGGAGGACTTTGACTTCCAAATGCAGCTTTTACTGACTGCTAGCTTAACAGGTGATTCAAATCAGGGACAGGTGCGGGAGGGAGGTCATTAACGGGCTCCAGACAGGATATATATATATATATGTATATGTGTGTGTGTGTATGTATACAAAATTACAGACAAAATATAAACATACACATATGTAACTATATTGTATATATATAGACCTAAAATAAGTGATAATGATAATGCCAATAAATCAGTAAGAATAATACATTTGTAAGAATAAAGAGAAAATCCCCAAAATATTCACATTTGAAATGTTTATTTAAGGCTGAAGAAGTTTTATACGACTCATCTGAAGGGGAAATGTCATTTTTGTGGTATTTTTGCAGCGGTTTTTGTCTGTTAAAGGGTTCAAATGTTAGCTGATTGTCTTTTAAAGCAGAATAACTTTGACGGAGATCTAAAATCTGTGGATCTTTGTTATGAAAAGAACCGATCTCAGCCCAAACAAACTTAGCTTAGCCTTCCTAAACCATTTTTTTTCTTTGTTTCCCATGGAACACGGGCTCGTGGCGTTCAGGGACAGTCGGGATTCCCTAGAGCGGCCCGTCGACCACATTGGAAGATTGTAATTCTGATTTAAAACAAGAGATCATCATTTATGGGGGTGTCGAGCTTTGTTTGTCTTTTTTAATCTGCACAGGAGAAGCTGTGAACGTGCTTAAATTTCTTAAATGTATTGCTTTCATAACTTAATTAAACTGTTTCCATTCATTTTGAAATGAAGCATTGTCGTTGTTTTTATTCAAGCTTCATGTTTACTCCACATTTCCAGCTCCTGAACTCCTGTTTCCACTTCTGTCTGTAACATCTGCAGGAACAGAGCTCATTTAGTGGAAACCAGAGCTGGTTCTGGAGGAAAAAAGCTAATTCAAAGTTTACTCTGCTTTATCTGGTTATTTAAGTAATTTATCTGACCCTAACCCAAAGCTAGAAAAAAGACAAAAAATTGAAGCTCTAAAGAATGTGACAAAACAAAATATAAGAGCTCTAAAACAAAAGCAGAAATTCAAAGTTTAGTCAGATTTATTTGGAGTTCTTTTAGTAATTTATTTGATTCCCAAATTAATTTATGCAGTATTTTTGCATATAATTAGTTAATATTTTTAGAGGGATTTTCCATAAAATCAGAGACAATTTAATGTGTTTTAATCCCTTTTATTGTCCTCTCAGGTCTGTTTGAGTGAACAAAAAGTCTAAAATTATCCAAAATGTTTGAGTTTCTGCTTCTCAGTGAAGCTGTTTCCAGCTCCTGAACTCCTGTTTCTGCTTTTGTCTGTAATATCTGCTGGAACAGAGCTCATTTAGTGGAAACCAGAGCTGGTTCTGGAGGAAAACTGCAGGAATTTAAAGTTAAGTTTGAGTTATTTTGAGTTCCTTTATTCATTTATCTGATTCCCAAATGAATTTATGGAGATTATTTCATCTTTTTGTGGAAAAACTAACAAGATGTCATTATTTTTGTGGAAAATTTGAGATATTCTGATTTATCTTTATTTGTTTTTGCAATTTATCTGATTTTAAAATGTATTTATCAGATTATTTCAGCTTCTTAAGGAAAAACTGACATCTTTCCACCGTTTTGGTGGAAAATCAGATGTTACTTTAAGAGGGATTATTCATCAAACTAAAATGATCCACAGTTTTTAGTTCCAGCTTTTAGTGGCCTGGTTTCAGCTCATTAGCACAAAGTTTCCTTCATTTCTGGATGCTGGAACAGAGCTGATTCCCGGGGGGGCAGCTGCTAACCCTCTGAGAGCTGCTAACCCTCTGAGACCCTAACCCTCTGAGACCCTAACCCTCTGAGACCCTAACCCTCTGAGAGCTGCTAACCCTCTGAGACCCTAACCCTCTGAGACCCTAACCCTCTGAGACCCTAACCCTCTGAGACCCTAACCCTCTGAGAGCTGCTAACCCTGTGAGACCCTAACCCTCTGAGAGCTGCTCATAGGGACTCCTGTTGTGGTCAGAAGGGCTGCTCTCTCCGTTAGAGAGCAGCGTCCGGCTGCGCTACATCAGCGACCCCACGGCCGGAGACCCGGACCCGGACCAGGACCAGGACCAGGACCAGCCCAGCGCCCACGGTACCAGAACCATACTCCAGAACCCGGCCCACCGGGGCCCGTTAGTGCTCACAGACCAGAGAACCATACAGGAGAGAGACGAGGAAAAACCCCCATTCTGTCTGTACTGCAACCCTTATCAGAACAATATTAATAATAAATAATGAGAATGAATTCTTATTCATCATTAGCAAAAATTATTTTTAATAAGCAATTAAATCAAATGAATAATAATCATTTAAAGAATCAATTAAACCTAATTGTAAAAAGTCAAGAAGAAACCGTTGTCTAGCAGAAATGAGGTTAAAATGACACAAACAAACATAGAAACAACTCTAACTCCCCCCCCCCCCCCCCCCCCCTCTAAAAAATGAGTGTTGCATGTAATAAAGGAGACTCCTGAATCTGGTTTCTGGTCTCTGGTTGGTTTTGTCTCCAGAAAACAGCAAACTGCTGCTTTTGTTTCCAGATGTGAGAAACAAAAGCACAAATCTGCAGACAGACGGCAGCAGCTGCTCACAAAGGCTTAGCACACCCGCTTTCTACCCTA